GGATGTAGTACGAGCTTCTGCTGCTAGGGGGTGCGGCCTACATTCATAGTGAATCAGTGTGCCAGCCGGCATCATCAAATTAGCATTTGTTTCTTAGTTACGGGCGTTTTGGTAGTGCATTACACCGACCCTCCTGCGATTTCGGAATGGCGTGTGCATCAAATTTTGCCAAAGACTCGCCAAAACGGCTACGGAAACCTATGAAATGCTAAAGCAAGCATTTGGGGAGTCCTCAATGGGTCGTGCACAAACTTTTGTGTGGCATTCACGTTTTAAAAATGGCCGAACCTCTGTCGATGATGACGAGCGTTCTGGACGACCATCTTCGAGCGCAACGCCCGAAAATGTTACGAAGATCGACGTCGTACCATCAACGACTTGTGCGACATTTTTGGGATAGGCTATGGGACCTGTCAGCTGATTCTAAAGGAAGAACTCCATATGCGACGCGTCGCAGCCAAGATTGTGCCAAGGCTCCTGTCTGAGGGCCAGAAGCAGAATCGACTTCTCGTTTGTCAGGAGCTTAAAGATCTTGCAAGAACCGACCCCAACTTCCTTTTTAAGCTCCGTGTGACTTCTTCCTCTTCCCAAAAATGAAAATTCAGCTAAAGGGAAGGAGATTTGAGACGATAGAAGAGATTCAGGCAGAATCGCAGATGGTGCTTGACAGGCTGACAAAGAAAGATTTCCAGGCTTGGCAGCGGCGCTGGGATCGTTGTGTTCACTCCCAGGGGAACTACTTTGAGGGTGATGGATGAATTTAATACCTGAGATAAGTGTACGGGTTTTTATAGGCGCAGTCTGGAAACTTTCCGATCGCACCTCGTATGTAAAAGTATGTTGATCAAACCAAATCAATAACAACAGTCAATACGGATATTTGGAGTGTTGATTAGATCCACTCAAAATCATGCCAATAAAAAAGAGTTCATGAAACCTGTGACTCAACTTTATCAGTACTTATTATATGGGGTCAGCTTTTGACTTCAGTATCTCTGTTAAAAAAGAAACATAATCATGTCTCAAGAAATCTAGTTCAGCATTTGACATAATATTTACTTAAAAGTGCAAAATTTAACCATTAACTTAAATGTTATATATTCGAGGTTATTTCTAAAAGTTCCTTCATTCTCACCTCATAATCATGATGCCCTACACATGTTAGCACCAAATCCAATATTTTGACAGCAAAATGGGGTTTGTTACTGCTGTTTTCACTTACTATCTTCTCTAAGAATGTTTCTGCCAGCTCTGTAAAGATGCGACAATAATTCATGGACCTACAACAAAGAAGAGCACAGAAAAAAAATATTTAATAACTGTAATAAACTGTAACAATGGTGCACTCACTCAGCCAAAATGATGTTGTACATTGGCCAATGTCTGAGGTATATTTAATATAACATGATGCTTTGAGAGTTGGACTGACATTATTCTAATATTTTGTTTTTTAAATTTTTGACACTAGTGGCAGTGTGGATTACTGAGTTTTTGGACATCCATCGTCTGACAGTCTAAAAAACACACATATTTCAAAAACTAAATTTGTCTCCTATTCTGTTGGGCCCATTACAAAGAGTTAACCTTAATTACTGTATGGGTCCAGTGCCCCTCTTCTCTGTACCTGATAATAAGATGAAGACAGATCTGGTTTTCAAAATGTGTGTTTTTTTTAGAATGCCATAAAATGGATAAAGTCAAAGTCCAAAAACTCAGTAATCCATATTGTAATACACCATCATCAGAGCAGCAGAAAAAGAAAAGAAAAGTTAGCATATTTATGTCATCTCCATACTCATATTGTTCGGAAAATCATTATTCCACACAATCCAGCTTCTTGATAACTTAGGTCTGAAAGGTCTATGGTGAGGTGTGGTGTCTTCAGTGCAACAATGACACCAAAGGAGAAAGCTTAGCAAAGTTTAAATCTGTTACCAATGTTCAAATAACATTCAGACAAAACAGGAAAGCAGTATGTCCAAAGACCCCAGAATTAATGGTCCTTGTGTGTTTTCAAGAGATAGATAAAAGATGCAGTTTATGCAGCCAGTGGACAAGTAGACAGTGCTGAAACATTAAAACTCAAGATTACTACAACTATTAAAATCATAACACGAGGTACACACAAGCACATTTTGACCAAGATTGACATCTCCTTAATACCAACCACATTTCAAGAGGTGCACATGTGCAACTTAACTAACTACAATGCTAAATTGTAAATGACTGTCCTCTTTTCTTTTCAGTTATATATTTTCATGGTCACAAAAGTTTTAACACTTTCAAACATGAACATATCCTTTGGACATCGTGTGTGTAGTCCATAATTTTGGTTTGTTAAATTAAAAAATAATGAAGTGTAACTGTATGAATTGGCAGGTAAAAGAATGGCATCTACCCTTCGATGACTACAAATTATTCTGTGGAAAACCAGAAGCCCACCAATCCAGGTTTAAATCCCTTGTATTCAAATCAGTCATTTTTAATTAGGTACATTTCACACGGTGGCTACAACATGCGGTATCTCTGCTCAACATTCAGCAGCCCCTAAAATCAGTACACAGAACAAGTACAGAAATCACTTGCCAATTGCACCATTTACATTCTTGAAAAAACAATGGTTGGGAAATTGGAAGTTAAGGAAACTGCAGCTGCTGTTAACATTCATCAAAGCCAAAAGTCTGAATACGTTTGTAATAAACTACATGTCCCTACAAAATTACAAGGACATTACACGCAAAATAAATAACAACGTTATAAAAAAAATAGTGTGACAATCTGTAAACTAGAAACTGGTTTTTGATACTATTACAGCCCTGTCCCCAGCAAGACATGCCAATTCCGTTGTGTGTACTGTAACCGTCCGGACTTTACTTTGTACGGTGACACTGCTTTCATTATTCTTATATCAAATTCGTATATGATTGCGTAATGGAGTTCTATGAATTAAAGCCGCATGGGCGAGCTGTGGTGGAATCCCTTCGAACAAATAGGCAATTGTAATGAGTAAGAGACTAGGCGGGGGACTCTTGTGTGGTCTCTCGAGTGAGTGAGACCACTGGGGCAGTAGTATAGGGTATCTTGAAGGAAGAAGATCAAAAACTTTTATAAGTGTGTATTTTAAAGAAAGTACATAATAAAGGTATACTTTGAGTTCAAGTCAATTGTTACTTCTTTATTCTACATTCGATTCCCGTGAGTGACCCTGAGTACCCTGAGTTAGCCGAAGCAAAAAACAGAAGGTGGACGGTTACAGTACATTAGAAACCAAATATAGCAGTTCACAAAACTGGACACAAATGAGAAACTTATATTCTGATTAATTTTTTATAGATTCTCCAAACATATACAACAAAGTATATAACTTAAATGATAGGTTATTACTGCTTCCCCTCAAATCCAGTGATTCACTTCTCACAAATATTCTTACCAGCCAATGTCTTCACAGACCCCAGCAATGCATTTCGTACGTAGGAATCATGTTACCTAGCAAGGGACGATGTCTTGCGCCTGCGCATGACTCCGCCCTTAGTTAGCTTTTTGGTTGCTTGCTTGGTTTCACAGCAGTGAGACAGTAAGAACCTCTGAAACGCTGGTTAACTTCTACAAGACTACACAGTGTGAAACATCCTGGAAGACCATCATCTTCATATATTATTAACGTATTGAATCATATGGAGAGATGAGATGGACAGACACATAAACATAGCAAACAGGGTTTTTAAGAAGAAACTGATGCTTCAAACATAAAAAATTGTCTTATACATTATTTTTGTCATGAATTCCTTCTTGATTATGCACATACATTTCTATGTAAATAAATATAGATCAAAAAGTCTTACACCTCCATATACATCTGTAACTTCACCTCAACCAGTTTGCACATATTTACTTGGTTTTAGGATATCTATACTGTGCTCTATCTTTGATTATTCAGTGAAACTAAAACTCTTTCAGTTTCCTGGTTATGAACAAGTCCATCATCAATGTCATTTTTACTGATGCAGCAATGGCAGCCCTAAGGAAATGCAAACTGTGGAATAATTTAGAAATTTATAATGAAGATCACAGACTGTTATAAATTAAATGGTACATACACAACAAACTAAATTTACATTTGTTAAAATTGTAGAAATATGGTAAAAAAATTTCCTAGACGTGGCAAAGAAGAAGATACCACACTCATCAATGTATTTATAGTAAGAAATCAAAGGATTCAACGCACTTCTCTTGGTCTTCATGAGCAACAGAAAGGTGGAACCCTTCTTCCAAAGACATCACACCAGAGAACAGCTGCAGTTCAAGAGCTTGTTGGTTATTGTTATCCTCCAAACACTGCAGTAGGGCACACACACAGTCTGTGGCAGCTTCGTGAACTCCAGGTACTGCCTGAATAAAACATATTGAATCTATGAAACTGTTCAGTACTTCAGAATTACATCAGAAGCATAATACAGCAACTTAGTACTCAGTCTGCAAAACATTTCACTTCAAAGTTTAAGTTTATAGTTTAAATGCGTCATGTTTGTGTTTTAAAATTCAAATATATAATATAATTCAAGTCTATACACAAACTTTAAATTGTTGATGTTAAAATTTAAAATTAATATTGATATTTTGCGCTATTCATCGTTATTACGATGTTACGGTATTTCGCAATACTGTAACATCGTAATAACGATGAATAGCGCAAAATATCAATATTAATTTTAAATTTTAACATCAACAATTTAAAGTTTGTGTATAGACTTGAATTATATTATATATTTGAATTTTAAAACACAAACATGACGCATTTAAACTATAATGTTCCGTTGATCTTCTTATTATTTGCATCTTATGTTTTGTTTTTAATTATTCTGTGAAACAATTAATTAACATATGAGTTATTTATTTATATGTAAATGAGTTTGGATATTGTCGTATAGATTTTTGTAAAAGTAAGAACACAATAACATACCAAGAGTCGTGATGTACAGTATATCCTCGTCTGATCAGGTTGAATGTCTGTTCGTGGACTGGTTTTGTGCATAGATGCGGGTCGTATATATATTTAGAGGGTGTCAGGTGATTGAGTCAATAACCGGTATTGTGTTGAATATAGGGTTATTTAAATATAGGTTATTATCGTTTAGCGCAATATTTTGTTTATGTGTACGTTGTATATGGTATTTTTCTATGGTTTCTCTATGTCGTTTGTTTTGTACAATTTTTATAATATCCAATGTTTCTTCAATTTTATTATATGTGTGTCCAGTGTTTAATATATGTTTTGCATATGCAGAGTAATCTTTATTGTGTTGGATAGCTGTTACATGTTCTTTGTATCTTTGTTTAAAAGTTCGTCCTGTTTGGCCTATATAGATTAATGGGCAATCTATGCATTTTAATCTATATATATCAGGTTGTTCGTATTGGTTTTTTGTGTCTAATTGTTGTTTTTGTTTTAAGAATTCACAGAATAATGGAAAACAAAACATAAGATGCATAAAATAAGAAGATCAACAGAACACATACTATAATAATTTACAAAACAGATGAATAAATGAAAAACTTGCATTGAAATATAAAGTAGTTTTAAAGGAAAAACCTGAAGATGATGCTACGCATCGAATATCAATAAAACACCTACTATAATAATCTACAAAACAAATATAATAAATGAAAAACTTGCATTAAAAAATCAGGTTGTTCGTATTGGTTTTTTGTGT